TGTACAATTAATGGTTTCTGTCCAGTGACACACACACATGTTGTCCTTGATTAAGGTATGTCTTACGTATCCTTCCAACATCATCATTCATTGTCGTCCTCCCATTGTGTGACGTGTGTAGTTGAATGAGTCATTATTTTTCGTCAGAAATTAATAATGGTCGCCTAGTTAGGAGACAATTCCTCGTCTTTTACGGAGCACGAAGAAATGTTACCGTTTTCATAAGAGACCGCCACTGGACCTTATCTTAAGCCAGCTGAATCCAGTCTGATTACTGAGTTTCTTAGACTTTTTATTTTTTGGTATTCTAAAAATACACGTTTCTTCTTCAGGTTTATGGAAATGGTACCTTCTCTGCTAGGTCTGTGATTGAGGTTAGTCCTCTGTAATGGACCCAGAAGTGTAGGTCTTTACACCTGACGACGGAAACAGATCCTATTTCCGAAACACTGCGGGTTTTCTTTTTGCAATACTAGACTTTGGATAAAGTCCCAAAACTCAGTAATCCACATTACAATACACCATCGTTAGTATCCTTTAAAATATTTCAGATAAATCACAGCTTTATTCTTATTTACTCACTGATACAAATTCATATTATCTATCCATTTATATGAGAAATACATGCAAATTATTAGTTATAAAACCTGAATAAATGTGACCAGTTGCCGAAACTTGGCTAAGATTTGAGGATAATATTAAAAGTCTAGCCTACACATAACTAGTGCGTCCGATTCTGGAATATGGGGCGGCGTGCTGGGATCCTTACAGGGAGGAACAGATAAATGAGTTAGAACGGGTGCAAAAGAAAGCATGTAAATTTGCATATCATAGGAGCGATTCGAACCGGGAAACCCTGGCACAGCGTAGAAAGATAGCACGTATATGTGCTCTCTTCAAGGCGTACACGGGAGATCGGGCATGGAAAGCTATAGGTGACAGATTGCAAAGGCCATACTATCTGAGCAGGGTCGATCATATTTTGAAAATTAGGAGCAGAAAGCAAAGAACAGATATCGGAAAATATTCCTTTGTAAATAGGACCATCCAACTCTGGAACCAGCTACCTGCTGAGGTTTTAGGGACTCTCTCCTATAAACCAAGTGCTTTTAGGAAGAAGGTTAGAAATGTGATAAATGAGGTGAAGTGAAGGGAATAAATGGGTGGGTGCAGTGAAGGGGGTTAAATTGGGGTGAGGATGGGAAGGCTTCATAAGTGTAGTGAAGTGAAGAGAAGGTCCTGATGAAATGTGAGTGCATCAGTTCATGACGTATGTAATTCATTACTGTTACTGTCTTATGCATAGTTGGTATTAAATTTTAAGTTATGTACTTTAGGTTATATGGTTTTGTAATCTTATGAGTTGTTTTATTTTGAATATGGTGTGTTGTTTTGTTGTATCTCATTGTTTTGTTGTGTCTTATTGTTTTTGTTGTGTCTTATGTTTTTTGTCTTATTGTTTTGTTCTGGCTCATTGTTTTGTTGTATCTCATTGTTCTGTTGTGTCTTATTGTTTTGTTGTGTCTTATGTTTTTTGCCTTATTGTTTTGTTCTGGCTCATTGTTTTGTTGTATCTCATTGTTCTGTTGTGTCTTATTGTTTTGTTGTGTCTTATGTTTTTTGCCTTATTGTTTTGTTCTGGCTCATTGTTTTGTTGTATCTCATTGTTCTGTTGTGTCTTATTGTTTTGTTGTGTCTTATGTTTTTTGCCTTATTGTTTTGTTCTGGCTCATTGTTTTGTTGTATCTCATTGTTTTGTTGTGTCTTATTGTTTTATGTCTTATTGTAGGACCACTGCCACCGGGTAAAAACCCATTTGTAGTCAAAAATAAATAAAAGTGTGAGCCAAAATAGCTTAATAACTAAAATATAAGCTGGAAGACCAGAACTCTGTTCTGACAGGAAGGATTCTTCTCTTCGCCACAAAATCCAAATTTATTCTGAGGTCCATGCAGCTTCTTACCCAACGGATATTGGGTTAAAGTAGCTTTGGCGTAAAGATAACCTTGTGGCGAAGTTAAGAACTCGTGGAGCTATACGTCCTAGCCCCTCTCACCCACTCATCCGCATGGCGTGCCACTTAGTTAAGAGACAGGGACGACTTTATCTTTTATCCTTAACTACTAAGATGTGAAATGGATTAAACTGACTCAAAAAGTGTGCAGTGGTGAGCTTTTACGATGAATGTGTTGAATATTGATGTTTCGTATTAACAGGAAGTTTCTTAAATTGTTTCGTACGTATTGCTTACGCATGAAATAATTTGTACATGGGATTTGGTTGCATTTATTAGTGATGTTCATATCCATGCAAATAAAAGCAGTTCCGTAAAGAATATGTTCCTTTAGTTTGCCACTCTAGTGACCTTCAATCACATATGAATCTGATAATATTTGGACTTTTTTAACATTATTGCCAGTATGTTTTTCAAGTTTAGGTGTTCGTTGAATACGATGAGATGCAAAAAGGCATAGCATGTAACAGCGCTACCGCTTTTTATGGTTATATTATAAATAAGCTCCAGATGACAATTCAAAACATTGCAGAAGCTAATGCACCATCTCCCTCTAAGTTAACTGCGCTGATATGTATGAAGATAGGAGAACAAGATAACTATTTGAGAAATGTCGTGCTTTCTGAGAAGACACATTCCAAACGTTATTAATAATTATTCTGAAAATATGTGTGAACTGTGCGCTCACAGAAACATAAAATAAAAAGTTCTTTGTTGTTTGTAAGTCACAACTTTTCCAGTTCTACTTTATCATTAATTTCGAAATGCAGATGTACTTTGATAACAACTCTATACCTGTTACAATGATTAAAGGAAAATTATAGGCCGTAGTTGTTAGGAATTTTGTAATAAATCTAGCGAATATTACGCAGTCAGTGTTTTTACTATTTTAGATTCATTAATTTGAACCGAAATTCTTGTAGGAACTGATACTTTCCTTAGTGATATTTCTTTGAAATACAGGTTGGCCATAAATTATTTACCACATTTCAAGTACACAGAAAATACATAGTATTAGGAATACAGATAATTGGTTTTCTTTGCTTGAAAGAAGAAATTATCAAGTTCAAAACATCTTAGTGTGGGCGCCATTTGTAGGTTGCAGAATGTCCAAATGGTACTCGATTTCACGCCATGTGCTTTCCAGCATCTGGGGTGCCACAGAAACAAGTGCGTTGTTGATCCTTGCACGAAGTTCAACCACATTTCTGTACGGAATACCTTGACCTTTATATAGACCCCAAAAAAATCCAGTGGTATTATATCAGGGGAGTAAGGAGACCAAGGGATTGGTCCTTCCCGCAAAATCCATTTGTTTGGAAAAGTTTTATTCATATACTCTCTCACTGTAAGGCCCCAGTATGGATGGGCACCATTTTGTTGAAGGTGTGACATCTGCGGGACTGAAAATAACTCAAGCATATCGAGATAATTTGTGCTGTTCACTATCTTCTCTTGAAAGCAGAAGGGTCCAATAACCTCATGACGAGAAAGGGGGCACCACACATTGAACTTGAGGCTATACTGTTTGTATTCGCGAAATGCATGTGCGGACTCTTAAACCCAAATTCTGCAATTGTGTCTGTTTACCATATTACACATGTGGAAAGTTTTTTCATCACTGAAAATCACTCTGTCCATGAAGCCATTGTCATTGTAGATGCGGTCTAGCATGTCTATAGCAAATTTCTTTCTACGACGCCCGTCGTCAGGTTCGAGTGCTTGCACAATCTGGGTTTTAAATGCGTGCAGCTTCAACCGACGTCGATCGGGGAACGTGCAGTTCTCTGCTAGCGCGATGAAACTGTTCCAACCATCGCTTGATGGACTGACTGTCTTCCAGGTGCTTGTTCTCTATATTCCCAATGGTAACGTCTCTGAATTACAGTAACTGAGTTTATCTCGCAGTACCACAACACAGACAATTCTTATTGCTCGGGAGAAATTACCATCTTGCGTTCGCCAGCTACGTACGTTTCAGCAGCGCCACTATCGGCCAGGCAATCAATTAACACAAAACTTTTTCAGCGGTTTTTTCGAACAATGCAATCCCTTTCACGATATCTCTAAAACTTTCTGATTGATGTAAGTTTGAAATGTTTTGAACAATTTATGGCTTTCCCGTATTTAAAGGAAGGCATTCTATTCCTCACTCGCCCCTCTGGCGCAGATTGGAAAGGAACAACAACTTAGAAATTCGTGAGCAAACAATGTCGCTCAGATTTCTTGTTTCTCTGGACTTAAGCCATCGCTTAGTATTATAAAAATAAAGACACTACGATTCGATACGTTCCCTAGCACAGGGACTGGAATTAGCCCCTACCATCAGACCCAACAAAATAAGCATTTTACCTGAAGACATGAGCAGAGACAACTCGCGAAACGAAGTGGCTTCATTTGCAGAATACTGAACGATTTATCTTTTCTAGAGAAACAGAAATATTGAACGTAACGCATCATTGGAACCTTATAAAATGATTTGATAGTTTATTTTCTTATTTTATAAACACGAGGGTACGTTTGTTCCAAACTGGCAAAAAGATGTTTAAAGTGGAGGTTCCGCGGCGACTGAAGTTGATAAAAGACTCTCGTGCTACAAGCCGCGTCAGGCGGTTGAATGGTGAATAAACCATATCCTCTAGCAACGTTCCGAAAGCCATCTCTACTCTCATCCTCAGGGCAGCTGCATAACAAAACTGATCCTCTAGCGCGCTCGCCGATGAGAACTGGCGGACGTCGAGAAACTTTGTCGCCAGAGATTCGAAGATATTGGGCAAGAGGAATGGGAGAATGTGTGTCTGGCATTTGGAAAAACTAGAACAAATTTATAATGAGCAAGAAGGCATGATCAACGACGCTATTAAATGCATTATAATTTAAGATAATGGAGTGGATAGCAGCGGCAGCGGTAATGAATCGAGTTATATGTCAGAAAGTGAAGGGCTGTCAAGAGTGGAAGAATTGGAAGAGTACTAAAGCATAGTGAAGAAGATAAAATTGTCTAATACTCTCTGCAGTGTTAATTTTCTAGTAAAATGTATTGTAGTGAAATCCACTTTGCTGTGTTATATACGGTGGTGATGTTTCATTTTATTTGGAGTGTACTGTATGCGGCCTGCTGCCATTCCTTACAGGAAACTTCTGATAAATGACTCTCTCCGAGGTTCCAATTCACAAAACGCAGCGGCCAAAAACGCTGAATCGTGGTCAACCTGCCATCCACCGCAGTTCCCATTGGCGAGCGCGCTACAGACGACCAGTTTTGTTACGCTGCTGCCCTGAGGATGAGAGCAGAGATGGCTCTCGAAACGTTGACAGAGGATATGGTTTATTCTCCTGTCAGCCACCTGACGCGGCTTGTAGCCCGAGAGTCTGGATAAAAGATATTTTTAATAATCTTCGTTTAAAATGTTGATGTTAGAAGACTTGTAACCAACAAACAACTGAGTCCAACTTACTTCGGAATTGCGAACAGACTGCATGAAGACTGTTTGTTTCAGGTACCTGTCCTGGAACGACTTGCGATTACTTCAGAACGACACGTTCTCCAAATTACCTCATCTTCTAATCCTGTGAGTATAAGCACCACGCGGTGCCTGTCAGTTTCATGTTTAGACAACTGCCTTTTATATACATGTAACACAGCGTCCAGTTGGAAGAAACAGCATTTGTGTGCATGACCTTAAGGAAAGAGAAGTTTGGAAGAATTAGCGAATACAGAAAGATAATACAGAGCGATCATAAGTTTGTGGGCTATTGAGGGGTATGTAATTTTTCAAATATACTACAGAACATTTGGACACCATTGACGTGTTTCACATACGGTCACAGAAAGTTATTGAATGTACATACGGTTTAGTTATGTTGGGCGGACGGAAATGCATACAGCTGAACCATATGTACCTGAGCCTAGTTCCTTCGAGGTTGAAATTGCTATTACAAAGTGGGAAATACGTAAATCACCAGGTAGAGATCAAATTCTGGCAGAACTGATTCAAGCAGGAGATGAAACATTACATTCTGAGATCCATAAACTCCTTAATTATGTTTGAAATAAGGGAAAATTGCCCTAGCATTGGAAGAAGCCTATTATTGTGCCAATGTACAAGAAGTGTAATGACACTGACTGTAGTTATTATCGAAGTATATCACTCTTATCAACTTAATACAAAATTGTAACCAACATTCTTCTTTCAAAATTCATAGAAAACGTTATTGAGTTTCGGCGTAATAGATCAACAAATGATCAGATTTTTTGTATTTGTCAGATACTGGAGATAAAATAGGGGTACAATGAGACAGTACATCGGCAACTCATAGACTTCAAAAAATCTTACGATTCATTTAGAAGGGAAGTATTGTACAATATCCTCGTTGTATTTGGCAAAACCATAGGAATAATTAGGCTTATTACATGTGTTTAAATGAAACCTATAGAAAAGTCTGTATAAGTAAACACTTGTCTGGTACGTTTCCTATTCAAAATGGTCTATAACAAGTAGATACTTTATTTCTATTTCCATCCAACTTTGGTTTAGAACAGCTGGTCCAACTTTTATCTTCGATCGGGCCGGATTAGTTTTCCAGTTGGACCCAAGGGCCACGAAACCCTTACTGTCACTGTTTTTACATTGTCGTTATCTTTAATAATACTAATTCAAATATAACAATTTACTATTGCATATGCTGAAATATAAATTGTATTTAAACGTGCACAAACTACCACAGAGTTGTATATTATTTCGCTCTTGTAACAGTTAGTATCGCTCATAATGTTTATCCGGAGAACTTACACGAATTATTTGAAATCCGCTACATTAACAGCTTGTAACTGATACAATAACATTTTTTTTTGCTTTTAAGTCAATGGTTTTAGTGAGAACACTGAGCAGAATGTTCTTTTAACATTGACGGAATATCAACTTCGAAAAAAATGGGTTTATACTAAATGGTAATAAATTAACAAATACATTCGCGGGCCGGATCCGGCCCACTGACAAGCAGTTGGACCGCGCTGCTTTAGAATACACCATTAGGAACGCCCAAGAAAACCAGGTGGTACTGAAATTGAATGGGACACATTAGCTCATGGTCTGTGCTGATGATGTAAGTCTATCAAGGGACATAAATACAATAAGGAAGAACGCAGAAGCTTTAATTGTTAATAGTAATGAGGTTCCTGCAGAGATAACTCAGTATATGTTGATATATCGTCACTACAGTGCAGGGCAAATCGTTATATAAAGATAACTAATGGATCCCTTAGAAATGTGGCAAAGTTCAGATGTTTGGGAGTGAGAATAACAAATAAGAATTTGATTTATGATTAAATCAAGAGCAGATTAGATACGGGTAATGCCTGCTGC